GTACGTCACTCCCCCCCCCCCCACACACACACACAGATCAATCTGGGAGTCCATCTGAGTGCCTCACTCATTGGCTGCGTTCTCTCTCACTCACTCCCTCATTCATTCAGGGATTGTGGGCAGCGTGCTTCTGCAGCCACTGGACCTGATCAAAACAAGACAGGTGGGTGCAAAATACATACACACGCACACTCACACTCACACTCACACGGTGACCATTGCATGGTCGTGTGTATGTATGTATGTGTTTCCATCAATGTGGTCCTATCTGCAGCAACAGCCCAACAAGGCTCCCGAGGAGACCCGTTTCCTCCGCGTGGCCGCCCAGACACTCAAGGCAAACGGACTCAGGGGACTCTGGCGGGGAGTCGTCCCCACCGTGTAAGTATCCCCCCCTCTCATACCCTTCTCTGTTGACACGTGAACATGCCTATGTGTGTGGTGGGGATTGTCAGGTTTCGTGTTGGGCCTGGCGCGGCGCTTTACTTCACCTGTCTGCACCTGCTGCAGACCAACTGCCCCGCAAAATGGTGAGGGTCGTCAGGGAAGGAGATTGACTGTGTGTGTCCATCCTTGCGGAGCATCCTTGCGGATGTGTGTGTGTGTGTGTGTGTGTAACATGGATGTTGATTGACCAGGCGCCAGAAGCCGCGGGAAGGTGTGCATATCGGCGACTATTTCAAGAGCACGTTCAAGAAGAAAGAGGAGAGGCGGAAAGAGGCACTGGGAAAAAAAGACCAGAACGGTACTCAGACACCACCCATATCCACCACGAGCACAGACACACCTACATAGGCGCCGTGTGTGTGTGTGCAGGTCTGTCTGAGGGGTTGGGTGTCAAGGGCGGTTGCCCCCACGCGCCTACACCACCACCAGCAATAGGTACTCCCACATGTGCACGTGAATGTCAACGTGGATGTGTGTTTTCACGTGCGTGTGTGTGTGTGTGTGTGTGTGTGTAGAGCGGAGCACCACCGAGCGGCGGCGCGACCCGTCAGAGGGCACCCCCGCCAGCTGGTACAACCTGCTCGCAGGTGCCACGTCGAGGACCTTCTCAGCCACTGTCCTGTAAGCCACACGCTTCCGCGAATCTCAATAGAGAAGAGGACGTACATGCACAACTGTGTGGTATGCATCCGTGCAGGTCTCCTGTGGCTGTGGTCAAGACGCGCATGGAGAGCACGGTGGCCTACGGCGAGCAGGCCGCCGCCAGGGCGAAGGGCGTCACCATGAGAGGTCGGCACGCGCGCAGATGTCCATCCATCCATCCATCCGAGTGTGTGTCTGTCCATGATTCAGGTGTGTTTCTGTACATATGGCGTCACGAGGGCGTGTTGGGTTTCTACCGGGGTCTACTGCCCACATTGGCGCGTGACGTGCCGTACAGCTCCATCTACTACATGGTCTACCAGAAGATCAAACACACAATCGGACTCAACAACAAACACGAAAAGGGATATGTCGTCAAGTACGTGGCACCATGTATCTGCACACATGTGTGTGGGTGACATGTGTCAATGTCTTCCTCTGTGTGTGGGTGCAGGAACTTCGCGTGCAGTGCGTCGGCAGGTGCATTCGCCGCGTTTGTGACACACCCACCGGACATCGTCAGGACACGACTGCAGCTGCAAATGGCGGTATGGATGACACACACACGCACACACGCACACACTGCACAAACCCCATCTGCACACATACACACTTGTCTGTGTGCATGTGTGCAGATGCAGCCCCCCTCCCCCTCCCCCTCTCCCGCCCCCTCCCCTCCCCCCATGGCTGCCCCCGCTGCTGCTGCTGCTGCTGCTGCTGCGGGTGTTCCCGCTGCTGCGCCTGCTGGTCAGCCGGCCTGTGTGCACGTGTTTGGCGGTCGTGTGAAGCTGGGCAGGGCGCTCAGCGAGGCCTACAGGATCGTCATGCAGGAGGGGGTCTGGGCTCTATTCAGAGGGTACGCCCATATGGAAGTGGATACGAGCATGTGATGTACCTGTGTTTGTGTGTGCGTGAGTGTGTGTGCAGGATAGAGTCGCGGTTGCTGAAGCGCACTTTGGCGGCCGCCCTGACCTGGTGAGTGAGACGATGGCATGGCTCTGCATGTCAATGTGTGTGTCTATGTGCAGGACGATATTCGATGAGATATCGAAGTTCGCCAACAAGTGCGTCACGATCGGCTCCACAATCCCATGTCAGCACCGCCAACACACACATGATGCACATTTGCGGAGGCTCACGCCCTTCGTCCTTCTTTGCTTTGTGTGTGCAGACACGGTGACCAAGGCGCCCTCCCCCGCCCCCATCGTGTCCGCCGACGGACCGCTGTCACTCGCCAAAGACAAGTCATGACCACACAGAAGGCCGACAATCGCGTGTTTTGCTTTTGTGAGTTGCGCGTCTCGCTGAGGTTTCGCATTCAGTGCGTGCAGTGATTGACCGATTGCACTGCATGTAGAGAGACGGACGGATGCATCGATGGAGATGCGGCGGCTCACTTGTTGTGTGTATGATTTTTCAACTCTCTTTTCCTCGCCTTGTCTCGTCTCTTCTCGTCTTGTATAGCTGTTTCTGTGTGGGTGTGATGACTGTACATGCCGTCTGCATGCGTGTCTGTAACACTGTTTTGCTAGTGACGCACAAAAGAATATATCAGGGCTTAGGAGCACAACACAGCAAACACACGGGTCAGTGCTGCCCCCTCCCCCGCACAGAGAGGGATGGCTTGACCATGTAGACCTCCTTCAGTCTCTCCAGCTTCACCCACTGACGCACATAAGGGTCACCCATACTCTCGAGTGCGTCAAGAGTCACATGCTCACCGCCACGCGGCCTCTGTCTGTCTCTCTCCCTGTCTCTGTCTCTGTCTCGTGGCTTTCCATCCTTTGGATCCGACCCCCCCTCCCCCCCATGTAGGTATATCCGCATAAAGGCCGAGTAGTCGCTTCCGCAGTCGACGAAAGTGGGCAACACTTGACCCTCACAAGCCATCGCTGTCGCAGCAGACACCGGCGGGCTCCCCGCCCTCTGCTGCATGTTCTTCAGCACACGGGCCTTCTGCCTGCACACAAAGCGCACAGACACACTCACATGAGTAAATGCATTCTCACCGTCTGAGTGGAGGGATCACCACACTGACTTGAAATGGTTTGCGAGTGCGGGAGAGGTCGATGGGAATGGGGCCTTCGGAGAGAGCTCGTCATGGTGCTCGTTGACGTACCCCTGGGCGAAGGCCATCTCCAACTCGCCGTTCTCGTCCACGGGTGCCGCCGCAAAGAGGCTCTTGAAGTCATGCTTATCGGTTCGTGACTGAGTGTGCCTGCTGTCCTCTCGTCCGTCTTGTAGGCTGAATGTGAGAGATGGCCTGGCAGCAGCGGCAACAGGGCTCCTTGGCCGCCTCTGATGCGTCATCTTTCGGCGACAAGGTTTGTTGTCGAGACTGGGGGCCGATGGGGGGGTGAGAGGATCGCATCTGTTCAACCAACGAATCAAGCCACCCTGCCTTGAGCTCATCCGAGGAGTCGACGTGGTCGGCAATTCCATTGCTTCATACGACAGCAGCGCCGTTTCCATTGGTCACCGTGGCCAAGAGGACATTGTCGGCTACCTCACCGGTGTGAGGATTCGAGAGGACATGGGTGGCTGAGATCTAACCACCCCATCGGAACACGCAATCAGACCGTGGTTTCCATAACATGACGTCCAACTTGACTGCAGCTGCAGGTGATTGATGCGATGGGGGGCAGCTGTTCGGTTTGGTCAGATGTCAGCTGCCTGCGGCTCGAGGACATCGAAATCGTGCATGAGTACGAAACCACTGAGGCGACCCGGCGGCTGACTGAGGGAATTGTCCGTCGCACCTTCACTTACCAGCAGCAAGTCACGGAACTCATCCAACGGCAAGAGGCCGACGCGGATCATGTGCTCATGCTGCGTGTGCATGGTCTCGAACCGGACAATATAGCGTGCCCCTGGCCGTATCGGCTTCTGGCGCTTGTCATCGAGAACCTGAGCGACCACACAGTGCCGACCATGGGAGCCCTGTGCAGCGAATCGGATTGGCGTGTACGTCGTGTTTGTTTCCCTCCCTGGCCGTCTCGTCAGCTGGAGGCGGCCATAATGAACGCTCTGGTTAGCAGCAGAGAGGCACATGCGAACTTACAGACATCATCCTGCTGTCTCTCTGTCTCTCTGTCTGTCTGTCTCTCTGTCTGTGTCTTTCTGTACGTCAGATCGACGGCGGGGCCAACATCGACAGCGTTGCCACCGGGGACGACGACACGCCACTTCGTGTGGCCATTCGTGGGGTCAACCAGAGTGCCTTGAGAGTCCTTCTGGTGCGCAACGCTGCGGTGCATAGTCCTTATGGCCCCTTTGTCTTGGACCTGCCCGTGCCCCGCAGCGGCGAGCATCGTGACAATCCAGTGTGCCGCGACTACGAAAAAGGGCTCTTGTCGATCTATCGGCTGCTTATCCAGCATGATGCCACACTTGCAACCGAACAAGACCAGCAGCGCTGCAATCTGGTTCGAGCAGCCAAATACGAGCACGGGCACTATTCCCAGGCCTTCATCGATGAGTACATAGACTTGCTGGCGGCAAACGGGGCTGATGTGAAAGCACAGAACAGCAATGGGTTGACGCCTCTGCACAATGCGGCATCGCTCGGCTCCACCTGTATGGTCGCCTCCCTGGGCCGCCATCTGACCGCTGCGGACGTCAACAGTGGGACCCGAGGCGATCCCAACAAGACGCCCCTAGCTTTAGCCGCAAGTGGCCTCGAATCAGCGATTTGGACATCGGAGAACGACACAGAAAATCAAGAACAAAAGGACAAAGCGCTCAGCGAGATTCCCCGCTTCTGGGCGACGATCCGCGCGTTGCTGAGAATGGGGGCCGACATCGACCGCATGCCCACAAACACCACTGACCAGATCGGTCGTCAACAGCTGGTGCTGCCCGACTACATGATCGTCCTGAACGAGTTGCCCACTGCGGCGATGTCAGCTGTCAATGCGGCCCTGCGACCTCAACGCAGCCTCGCTGCCTTCCTCATGAAATCCCTCCCCACCCTGCTCGCCCACCTGCAGTGTCTCTCTGGCGCCTCTGTGGCCATCCCGCCTCCTATCCCCGCCTCCCATGGATATGGCCCACTCGAGGGAGAGGCCATTGGCTGGAAGATCGCCGCCATGTGCTTCGACTGGGATGCTGCTGCCACGATGATCAGTCATACTCTGCCATTCCGCAACAGCACCGTCGCTCGTCGCGTGACGGCCGCAGCGGATCACTTTGTCAAGTCGGCTGTCTTCGAGGCCAGCTGCAACAAGGAGGTGGTGGGCAGGACGACTAATGTCGGCGGCGAAACGGTGCGTGTCCCGCTGCAGTGCTTCGCCATCACGGCTGACAGCCGCCCGAATGAGGTCGTGCACACGCATGGCCGTCTAGGGCTGCGTGAGGTGGTGCACAGGGCCCGGCTGGACGAGGCGGCCCGGTATGACCTGGTGGGCGTAGTCAAGGGCTTCAATGAGCATTTGGGCATTGACGACTGCCAGCTGTCGTGGCGCATCGACGATAGGGGGCAGTGGGTGTCGCTCGAGATCGACTGAGCGGCTGCTGAAGTGGAGAGGGATATTAGACAGATTGGCCGAGTGATTTGTGAGGTGTAGTCGATCAGGACTGAGCTGCTTTAGCAAGCTGCAGAGAGACAGCTTGGTGAATCTCATGACTGCGAGCCATATGTCAGTGGCAGACACTTCAATACGTCTGCGTGTGTACGAATGCCGTGACCTGTCTCGAGTGAGCCTCATCGGCTCACAGTGAAGTAGTTCACACACACAATGGTACACACACGCACAGGTGAGAAGGTAGACAAGCAGAGACAGACGTGTTGAGTGCGTGGCCACAACACAAACGCCATACACATACACCCACAGAGGCAGCACGGGCATATGTGTGTGTCGTTCCTTTGTGTGTGTTGCAGGTACGGTCATCGCCCGGGTGAGAGCAGCCACCGCCCCGAGTTGGCCTGGGTCTATGTCGGCAGCCACAACCTCAGCAAAGTCAGTGAGCCAACAGACAAACAACCAGTACTGTGTGGTCTCTCTCGCACCATCCTCATGTAACCGAATACACGACGTGTAATCAACACGTCCATGTGCATGTGCATGTCCATGTACCCAGCCGGATCGGGTGCATGTCGTATGTGCTTACAGTCGGGTCGATCGGGTGTTGTGTTGTGTTGTGTGTGATACTAGGTGCACACATCATACACGCGGCTATGCACATCTCATTGGCCGCTTTTTTATGACTGACTCGGTCATCGGAAGGCCTTACTTGGGTGCATACAGACATTTCTTAGAGGCAAGTGATGAGGTGGCTGGAAGATGGGATATGAGGGCGCACCGGTGTTGTAGCTGCCTTAGATAGATGCGGGGATCAAGGTGTCAGCTTGGTGTCTCTCGTGATGTGGGAGTGGCAGGGGGAGGGGAGGGGTGAGGTATGGGTGGCAGCCAGCTCAGTATGTCTGCGTGGCGTCTGAGTGATGACATTGATGCGATTCCAAGGGAAAGCAGCGATTGGAGATGCAACAACAACAAAAAGTGTCTATCATCTGTCCATCCATCCATCCATCAACGCAGGCAGGCCAGGCAGCAGCAAACGACCCACGCACCACACCACACAAGAGTGCATGCAGTGAAGTGAGTGCCCGATGGCCGCCATGGGAGTCGTGCTGGTGGCCATCAGGCACTCATCTCTCATGCGCCTGTCTGTCTGTCTGTCTGTCTACGCACCCCATATATTTACACACACCCAGCCGAAGTGGTCAATTTCCCACCCAGCCGCCTCAAACACACCGCAGCTAGCCATCGCTATCCCTCTATGAGACCTGCTTATAGAATCAACCGCCGCCCGAAAACATAGCCAATCTGACCATAGACACAGATAGACAGGCAGCTGCATCAACGCAGACCCTGTGGTGGGTTTCGGTGTGTCGCACCTGTCTACTGTGAGCCACGGGAGGCTGTCAATGTGATTAGGCCCCCCACCGGCCAATCATCCGCCCAGCTCTCCACCGTCACGGGGAAGTGTCCGATCGTCGAGCCGTCGGGGAAGACGGCACGGATGGACGCGCGAGCTGGGTCTGATGCTCCGGCTGAGAGGCTCACAGACTGCGGCCCGGGGACGTGGTCGAACAGGGCCGACAGGAGGGCGGGGGTGAAGGCGGCACGAATGCGGTTGCCAGCACCCTCCGCAGACACTGAACACGCACACACGAGACGGCAGTGAGAAAGAGATATGGATCGCATCTTTGTCTTTGCTCACCCTGATAGACGTAGAAGCACAGCTTGTCTATCCTCGGCAGATTAGTGCGATTGACAGCAGCTACCATCTCCTCAGTCCCCAGCTCATCTAGAGCCCCCTCGCTCAGCCAAATCATCACCTTCCGCACCTCCCTCCCGCCGCCCAGAACTCCCAACACGCCCAGCGCATCAACAGACAACCTCCTGGTGACGACCTCGGCCACCTGGTTGGCCATCTTGTCAGCCAGGAGATGACCGACACTCGCACACAGCCAGCCACAGATCCACAGCTGACCCGCTCTCGGGAATCGCTGCAGGTGCTCGATGATGGTGGGGTGCGGCAAGGGTGTGTGGGGTGGAGGCGGTGGGTCGATGTGGCCCCGCACAGACACCTTCTCAGCGCGATCGAATGAGAGGCTGGATGCGACGTCGACGGCCGCGTCGCTGGGGCTGTCGATAGGGTGGGTGAGGTCGTGCTGAGTGATGGCGTAGACCACACATCTCGCCCGCCGCGCGAGCTGGTGCATGATGGCCTTGAAGAGGGGGGAAGGATTGGGGGGGAAATCGTCGCTGTAGAACAGGGACAACTCGAAGTGCTGGACGAAAGGCGAGCTGCTGAATGCGACTTGGGCGTCGGGTCGGCAGCATGCCCTGCGGAGCGACTCGACCGACTCCACGAGGGGAAGGATGCTGCCGTCGATGGAGCGAATCTCCATCCACAGGGTGAGCCGGGTGAGTGTCTGGCGGCATCCACGCGACCACAGCGCTGCCTGAAACGGACACACGAGTGAGAGGCCATGAGAGAACAACACACCCGTCATCCTTCCCATGTGTTGGTAGGTCACCTGCAGTCGGTCCACCGCTGCACGAGCAGCGTCAGGACTGCCGCGAAGGACGACGGTGCCGATGCGTTCCAGATGTCCCAGAGGCCCCGGCTGCCCGGCCGCTGCCACCGGCATGTACTCAAACACACCCGCCCACTCGTCAGCCTCAAATTCCCCATCCACATGCCGCAGCGAACGAGACGAGCCGACGAACTGTCCCACATCACTCGCATCCCACCCCTGCTGGGCAAGGCGCTCGAATGACGGCATCAGCCAGCCCCTGTTGGCCAGGCCGGAATGAGCGAGAGTGACGCCACTGACAGTCTCGAGGGCGCCAAGGGAGGGGGGCGGCTGCACGATGGACGGGAGGGGCGGGTCACGTCGCTGCAGTGACTGCATCTCCCTCCTGGTCAGCTGGGCGCCCTCCAACGTGATTGTCCTCAGCGTGCTGCCCTGCATGTTGGCTGCCCGCCGGCCGGCAACGTGCCCCTCGATCGTCTTGATGAAGACATCAAAGCACCAGCAAACGGCGCCCATGGGATAGCGCAAGACGATAGCTGTCAGCCGTGTGAGCCGGGCCGCCCATTTGGTGACCAGATCTAGAGGGACTCGCTGCCAGATGCGCCGCTCCGCGCTGTCGGATGAGCTTATGATGAGGTTGCGGTGCTTCGGCAATGAGTGCTGCGAGGTGTTGTCCGACAGCTGGACGAGTAGACAGAGGGGGAGGAAGGCCGTGATGCAGGTGAGCAGGCCAGGCTGCACAAGATGAAGACAAAGAGCGACAGTGAGCCATCATCTCTCCATTGCGTCTGCCGTGATTTCCTCACCGTGTCTGATATCTGCTGCCTCAGTTCCCTCTCCCTCTCCTCCCTCTGTGCCTGTCGCCCCTCCTCATCGCTCGCAGCAGCAGAAGATGACGGCTCGGTGGCGGCCTCGCGTGGCCTGCAACGACACGCACATACAGTGGACGATGATCCAGCACACATTAAAGGCACGGCGTCCATCCATCGTGCAGCAATGCAGCCCCACCTGACGGCCGTCATCGGCAGCAGCAGCAGCAGCAGCAGCGTCAGACATGACTGTCCGTCACCCAATGAAGCAAGCACCAGACATCGCTGTGGATGAAGCGCCTGAAACACGCCAAGCAGTGAATGTGGTGCTATTGTCGGCCGAGCTGTCGGCGCGTTGCTGTTCGTCTTTGCTTCGCGGCACTCACTCGTGTCGTTCATCGTTCATCGATTTATCATCGATGTTTCGATGGAATGCCTTGCATCCCGATCAGCGAGCCACGAAAAGGGCAACATCGAAGTGAATAAGCTCATCATACGGGTCGAGCTCTTTGAGCTCGCATCCCCAGGGCACGCAGTGGGCGCGCTGGCGGTGCGTCGTGAAGTGGACCTTCTTCTGCTTCGCTCAAAGATATCGGCTCTGCTGTGTTGTCTCATCTTCCTTTTGCCCTTCAATTCGGGGGATTCGAAGGTGGGAGGCAGGGCAAGGGCGGGAAGCACAAGGGAGGCAGGGAGTGATGCATGCAAGAATGCTTCGATGCATTGCTGTCCTTTCACAGGCATTTGGCGTGAGCCGTTGCCGTTTCATCACCGCCTGCAGGCCGCCAGACAGGCTCAGCCGGGTGCGAGAGGAACACATGAGAGCAAGCCATCATGTAGGCAGCTTTCTCCTGTATCCTGCCTTTCTGGGTGTGCTGCTTTACAGACCCTATGTCGTTGCAGCAGCTCTACGAGACGAGCCGGCGCGACAACACGGCAGACTGCTGGTGGGAGGAGGAGGGGGGCAACGACAGCCTCGGCCACCGGCTCTTCTTCGGGGTGAGCATTCTTCCCCCACTAGCGTCGCTGAAGTTCAGCGAGCAGACACCCGACCCGACGGATGGGTCCTACACCCAGGAGTGCGGCCTTCATGCGTGCAACATCGCCCTGCAGTACCCCGCGTTGCCACACGAGAAGGCGTACTTCAAGCGGACAACCAACGACGCCTTGACGGCCGACGGGGTGCGGCGCGAGGAGGACTGGCACCGACTGTGCCTGGGGGACATCGGCCGATTCATCAGCAACAAGCGGAGAGACGACAAGGAGCCAGGCGTGGGCGAGGGCGAGAGGACGTCGAAAGGGGCGAAACCTACCACCTCACTCAAGGGGGTGAGTGATGAGGGAGGGAGAGCGATATGGTGATATCCGTTTGGCTCCTTCGTTGTGTGTGTGTGTGTGTGTATGGATGGATGTGTGTGTGTAGGTGAAGGGCGACGATAATGCGCTGTGTTCGAAGGTCGGTCTGCTCACGGACCTGAATGAGGAGAGGGCGGGGGCGGTGATCGCTATCATGCTACGTGAGGATGAACACCTGCTGACCTTCAAGCCGCTGCGAGAGGGATTTTGGGCTGACGGCGACTCCATCGTCGCCAACAACCGCAGCCGCCGCCTGATGACTAAGAGGGACACCGCAGAGAGGGTGACCAAGGTGCGCTCTCACATATGACACACATCACGCGACCAGCGACTTTTGTACTCTCATTTCGGTCCATTCAGGACTCCATCGTGGTGTTTGGGGACGAGAAGGCTTACAATGCGGCGAAGAAGCAACAGCAGGACAACCGAGATGCGCCCATCGCATTAGACGATGACGACGAGCTGCAGCCCCCGGCTCCAGCAGCAGCAGCCGCGGCAGACCACCCACCTCCCATCGACATGGAAGCCGAGGTTGGGGACAGCCATGCGCCCCAGCACCCTCACCCCGCACCGCATTCGAAACAGCAGGCTGACCGACATGACGATGAGGGTATGGAGGTCGAGGTAGGGGGAGGCGGGGACGCTGCGTTGGCCGTGGGCATCGGGGGCGGCGGTGACGCTGTTGGGGGCGGCGAGGCACGGGCGGCTGCCCATGATATGGACATCGACAATGGCCATGGTGAGTGAGTCAAGCAGTGAACAGACAGATCGACAGACAGGGAATAGGGAGGGGGAGGGAGGGAGTGTTCTTCGGATACACGCCTCAACATGTTTGTTGTGCGTGCCTTCACTGCAGAAGGGCGCGGCGCGCAGCAAGACGATGAGTACGCAGTCACACACACACACACACACACACACAACACGCAGCCCGACCGGTCCTCATGCACCTGTGTGGTCGATGACTGGTGACTCATTCAGGTTGTCCCTCGCCGAGCGTCTCAAGGCCAAGAAGAACAACAAGAGGAAGGCCGCGGAGGGAGAAGAGAGAGAGCGCCAGGAGGGGCCCCCGCCGCCCAAGAAGTCTCGCTTGCTGGAAGAGATGGCCGACACGGACAGCTGGCAGGCTAAGAAGGGGCGCATCGACCTCAATGGCGGGTACCGACTCCGCCGCACAAGAGTGCGCGCCAGGCGGTGTGTGGACGCTACACGTGCCCTCAGCTAGTCCGGCCACATCTGTATAGTCCGATTAGCTGTGATGGCCGTCTAGAGAGGAGATTGGGGCCATCTGTATGTCTGCGTAGTCGGTGTTCGTGCGGGCGTCTGGTCGGTCTTTTTCTTTTCACACGACTTACTCACTCGTTGCAGTGTGGCATAGGTCCAGTCAGACATGGCCATCACACACACCCATACAAGGAGCCATGTTGATTCGTTCACTCCGGTGCCCGCCTCCCTGTGTGCCTGCCTGCCTGCCTGCCGCTGAGAGTCATGGGGGAAGGTCTGTCTGTCTGTTTTCCAAATGGTCTGTGATATGTGACGTCGATGGGTGCGGTGCCCCGCTCTCTGTTTCTGTTCATTCTTCACGAGCGGGAATGGGGGCGGGGGCAACGGCATGACTGGCGAGCGTTGGTGTTGCTGGCTATGGGACGGAATATGAGTGCGAGGTGCCCTACTCCTATGACATCTGGCAGGCCCTGGCCACCCTCAGGTAGGTACCTAAAGCGGCTGGTCGGTGTATGTCTGTGTGCACTTGTATGTTTGTCTGTCTCTGTCTGTCTGTCTGTCTGTCTGTCTGTGTATGTGTTGTCTTCAGTGTGCGGCTGACTAGGCGTACGTGGCTGATTGGCTGACGCGCACCGTCACCCAGATGCCCTTGTTCTTCGAGCGCCGCGACAACCTCTGTCTGGCAAGGGAAGGAGACCAACAAAGACGGCACAAGTAAGTCCACTACATGCAGCTGGATGCTGCAGAGAGGGCTCGATACACAGACACGCACGCCATATGGATGTGTTCCTCCCTCGTTGTTGGGCATGTCTGGAGGCCTTCAGGTCATCATCATCCCAATCTTGGCGATAATCGTCGAGCACCAGGCCTTCCCCGCGCCCACCGACGCAGCAGCCGTGATGCAGTGCGCCGACCAGCCTGTGTTTCCTGGAGCCGACCTGATTCGGAAGGTCATGAGCGACATGCTTCAGCAGAAGGACCAGCAGGGCAAGCAGTACACACCTGCTGAGGACGCGCTCAAGTGAGGGAAAATGGGGGTGGGGGCGGGGTGGGTCGATGAGCAGACGCATGTGTGTATTCGTGTTTTGTTCTTTCTCAGGGTGGAGTTGCTGCGTCTGGCCACCAACCATTCTGGCTCAGTCGGTACGCGCACAACGGGCGTAGAGCCACCTGCGGAGCGAGCTCAAGACCGTCTAGCCAGCTGTGGGGCTAAATCACCATCTGCAGGTTCGCCGACGCATACGACACGCCCTCCAAGATCACCGTCCAGGCCTTCTATGTGGCGCTGCTGAAGCAGCACGAGGACGACACCGCGCGCGCCCTGGACATAATGACCCCGCGGATCGGCGACTCGGGTGTGCCCAATTGGGTGCGGTGCGCACTGCGGACTCTCATTGACGAGGGGCAGGCACAACGTCAGCCAAACCGTCTACATATGGGAGCTGGTCAGTCAGCTGGCACACACACGCATGTGGATCCATCCATGCGCTCTGTTGGTGGTTGTGTGAATATGTGTGCGTGTCAGATAATTCGCCACGCCGAAGGCCAAGTTCACCGCCTCGGCCTCGGCATCAGAACACAGACGCGTCGCACTAGACACGGCAGCGCTCGTCGTCTTGGAAGTGGCAGAGCGTCCCGTCTCAAGTGGAGAGAGATACTCCAGCCAAGGAGGGCCTTGCTGTTTGCTCCTTTCCCTTCGCGAGCAGCAGACGGCCCGCCCTTCTCGAAAGAGAGTCTGGCAAGGCAGCAGCACTGCGGCGGCAGCAGCGGGTGAATGGTGCACACAGGCAAGGCAGCTTCAAGCGGGGATTGACTCTTCGGTTCGCCAGCTTCAAGCGACGGGCTTGACCGATTCTAACCCACACGTAAGCCATCAAAAGGACAATCCATGCACGCATACAAAGGCACCTCTGTGTGTGTGTGTGTCGGTGTGCGTCGCTCAGTTGGCGGCGATGACGGTGACGAGACGGCCATAGACGAGAGCGACATCCGCACGCCGGCCGATCTGCTGATGCAGCGCCGCGACAAGCTCGACTTCGGCATTCTCGTCAACTTCCTCATGCGCACCGCTCTCCATCTCAGCGTCAAGGACGACTTCAATCTGAGGAAGCGCGCTTTCGACCTTTTCTGAACGTATGCCAGCACTAATAGAACAACACACAAAAGCCATGTGTGTGCCGGGGTGTGTGTTTGTGTGTGTGGCAGGTCGCTTGCGTTGTGGCGATGATCAACTACCTCGCTGCCTCACAAGAAGCTGCAGAATCTGTCGCCATACGACCAAAGTACTTACTGGACTGGTACGTTGACCTGTCAGACACGCGCCCACAACACATACGATCTGCTGTGTGTGTGTTTTCTGTGTGGTGTAGACGGCGCTGATATTGACGGGCAAGATGCTGGAACAAGAGCGGAACGTCCGCCGTCGCCACTCCCCTGGCTGTGGCCATGGGACCATTCAGAAGCGAAGGCGTCCCCAACAGCGTCATTCTGGTGCATGCATCAATCAGCGAGCTCGTGCAGATGGCCGCCTGCCGGCTCTCGACTACCTCCCCACCTGCGAGTTCCTTGACGGCATGGTCGGCGGGTGCAGCACCGTTGGCGACGTCCTGCGGAATGAGGACTATGCCGCGGCCCTCTGGCGGGAGCTCTTCGCCCAGCTGTGGGCGACCTTCAGGGGCGGCGAGAGAGAGCGCATCGCTGAGGCGCTCGTCAATTTCCTCGGCAGGAGCTCCACACGCAGCCAGGAGCGGTTCGTGCCGAGAGTACATCAAGTGGTGCTGGGGGGCGCTTTAGGGTGCTCGCCCGACATTTGCAAGTGGTCGCCCCACCAGCTGGACGGATCGCGGAACCTGACAAGGGATGGCAGCCTCCACAGGTATGTATCGGCAAGCACACAGAAATTACTCCTTTCACCTGTCTCTGTGGGTGTGTGCAGTGTCTGAACATGATGTACCTACCGTGATCTAGAGGACGACTATCGATCGCGATGGCCTCTGCTGCCGCACCCGCGTCAAGTAGTTGGAGACCAAGCAGGCGACTTCCCTAATGCGGCACATCCACGGCCACTAGTGAGACACAGAGAGGGTCGGCAATTGCACACGCCCCACCACATTGCGTGTGTGTGTCTGTGTGTGTGTGTGTGTGTGTCTGTGTGTGTGTCAGAGTTGGTTGAGGGCGTGAGTTCCCCCTGCCCAACCTCCGACGCCACCCTAGGATACGCAAGCAGGCTTGCGCGAGAAACCGCTCAAACAATGGTGAGTGAGTGAGTGGGTTCACACACCTGGGTGAGACGAGCCTGCCTGCCTGCCTGCCTCTGTGTGTTTGTTCAGCCGCAATGTCCTTCAGCAGTGGCGTGCCTAGAGTGCTGGTTCGGGGTGACCATCCCCGACGCGCAGAGAGAACTGTTTGCTGGCCGGCCTCTCCATGGGCGCATGTGGGGATCACTGCGGGGGGGCGGGACCTCATATCCCGACCCTTCACAAGTGGCCTCACCGTGTCAACTGGGGATGTGCCGGCCGGCCAGCCAGCCACGGAAGCACGCACACTTTCAGTCGCACCCACCGTCTGCTCTGTTTTTCTTACCTTTGTGTGGTGGTTGGGTGGGTGTAATGGAGCTGTTTCTCTTGGCGTGGCTGCGTCTGCATGGCTGTCGACCGCTTGTTCTCTTGTCTGGCCGGCCGGCCTCTCCACGGGCGCGTGTGTGGCGGTCGCTGCGTGGGGGCGGGACCTGATATCCCGACCTCCACGTTTGTGTCGTTGCCGCGTGAACGTGGAGATGCGCCGGTCGTGTCGCGCCAACACCACCACCCCTTGTCATTTTGCTGTTTGTTTTTCTCACCACTCATTTCTTTCGCACCATCTGGGACTCGGTGTCCACGTTGATTGATTCGACGAGTGCGTGGATGATCATGAAGGCGTTGCCGGCCGATGGACGCACGCATCTGTGTGCGTGTTTCCATGCGGACTTACGCGACATAAGTGCTATTTGTAACACGTGTGCCTGCTCATGGTATGTAAGTACTACCTACTACCTGATCTGTGTCTCGTGTGGTCGGTCACCGGCAGGCAGGCAGGCAGGCAGGCAGGCAGACTTGCGCACACAGCAGCGATTTCGACCGATAGGCAGGCATAGTGGCTGTGATTTAAGTATAGGTGTAGCTAATAGACGGGCACTGACTGCACCATGGCTGTCTCCTGCACACTCACTGGATTGGGTGCAGTTGGCCGCTGCTCACCTACTGCATATTTGTGCCAATTTTGTCGTCTTTTTGTCGTCTTTTGTTCGCCCGCTGCTTTGTGATTCGGTTCGCATCACACGCACGCATTCGCCCGGGTGGTCGCTTTGGGGCGGGGTGGCGGTGGCCATGTGGAAGTGACAATTCAGTCATTCTATGAATCAAGACACACGCACATGGTGGCGTGCCCCTTTGGGTGGTTTGTGTGTCCGCCAGCTGTGTGTGCATCGGTCGTGTGTCGCGTGGGAAAGACGTTTTGTCGCGTGGAGAAAGGGGCAGAGAGCGGGGCGTCTGTCGGTTTGCCAAGAGAGCTGAATGTCTGTGTGTGTGGTCTGGTATTGTGACTGATCGTAGTCGTGTGTGGCCTTTGTTTATGTAACCGTGTACGCGACGTGTAATTGACGCGTCTAAGTGCTGGTGGCTGCATGCACACACATCTGCACAGCCCGATCCATCGATGGGGTGTAGTAGGCGATGGGCTGGCCATGAACATACGTGCGCCCCTGTGGCCGCTTCGGATAACTAGATTGGTCGCACAGAGACATTTATGCTATTCACGTAGGTAAACAGAGAGAGGGTCAGGTGTATGGGATGTGATGTGTCATGAATTGGGCGAAAGAGTCGGGGTGTTCTGACAGACTGCCCATGTGTGTCTGTGCGTCACAGTTTCCCAGATGGACAAATGCAGTGGACATCCACCCAAGTCAACCAGACAAGGCAGCTGAGTGAGTGAATGCCGTCAAGAAGTCAGGTGGATTTCTGAGCAGATTATGGAGTAAGTTACATGGACCCTCATCGATCTGTTCGCCTTCGTCTGATTGACTCAATCCACCAGCCATCATGATCAATCCGACGGTTCGTACGAAGGGATCGTGTGTGCACGTGGCCCTTCCGATCAAATGACTCAACCCTTCACCAGTTGTTGGTAAACCAAGCTGATCCAACTCATGCACAGAGAGAGAGAGAGAGCCGACACAGCCGGGCGATAAAAGGACGATCTGTGTCTATCGTATGTCCGGCCAATCATCCCACATACGAGGATCAATCACAGTGAATAAAGTATCGTACATCATACAGACAGACAGACGGATATGTCTGGCGTCCGTGATTGCAGAAGCTGATGACAACGATAAAACACCACACACATAAAGTGCTCACGGAAGATACACATCGAGCAGGCCACACACGGACGGAAAATCAATTTCTCTTCAAACGGCTGAAGACGTCTTGAAGAAAGCGGCGAAACAATCCCTTTGCACCACGCTGCGGGGTACCAGTCTACATAACATGAAGCAACCATCGTTTCCTCCGCCTTCCCCGCCTTCACATGACTGACTGCCCCTACTTACCGGATCAGCGCTGATCTCCTCCAGCGCTCGCCCAGGAGGAAGCTCAAAGACGTATTCCTGGAACAGCAGCCGGTCCTTGATGTCCTCGCGTGTGGTCGGGTCCTTGGACCAGAGCGGCTTGATCGAGCCGCCTTGTGGGATGGCCCACACGATGCGCCAGGTCTTCTTGCCATCCCCGATCGCTGGGCTTGTCCTCAAGTTTGTGATCAATGATTGGTCAAATCCACTGGCTGAGTGCTCGCTGTTGGCGGTGACTTGGATGAGGTAGACGACGTCCTCAGCGCTGTCGATGTACAGCGAGTCGATGACCGCCCAGTTCTTGGCCGCGGGCACCCAGAAGCCAGGCTCGCGCACGTTGGCAAAGGGTCTTGTCTTGATTCTGCTCCGAATAAACACACGGGGCTTGTTGTCCTGCTGCGTGGTGTCCAGCGAAACCCGGATCACACCATTCAGCTTGTCCTGCTGCGTCTGCATCCTTGATGCTTGAGAGGTCTTGTTCACACGTTCCATATGGTGGTTGAGCGGCTCCAGACTTATCGGGCGCTTGGTCACTCTCAGAAACTCGTTGACAAGGCCCTCAAGCAGCGCCCCTTGCTGGCCGGCGATCTTTCTGGGGTCCATGATGATATCGAGCTCATTACTCAACTGCTGCTGGGTCAGATTTCGGATGAACGTGCCGAGGATGTAAGGCGAGCGCCAGACGACCTTCCCAAAGGTGTAGGTGCCGTTGGTCGTGGGATCGAGCGACATGAGAAGGCTCTGAGGGACATTGTCAGCTGGGACACCCCTTGGAACTTCTCCGCCCCATCGTCGAATATCGTCATACTTGACGGACTCAATGACACTGTCCACATCGGCCTTGAGCTGAGACAGAGGCGTCAGGTAATCGCGGATGATGCCACCCGCATAGAGGCGCTTGTCATCCATCTGGTCGAACCACTCGGTTCCCTCAAGGGCTGCAGCAACCTCATCCTCAGTCCAGGTGGGCATGAGCAGATTGAGTGTGAGCTCTTTCTTGAAATCGTTGTAGTTATCCTTCCTCGACGACGCAGCCAGCAAGACGCTGCCCCGCCAAATACCAAAAAGGGCACCTTCCAAGCCTGCACCACACACACACACACACACACAAAGAGAGAGAGAGAGTGTGTCACTCTCACACAGGCAGGCGTGCAGCCCCTCTCCCTTCCGCCCTGAACTAACCGTCGATCAGCAGCCAGTCGCGTTGTGATGAGTCCAGCGGCTGCGTCTTTTGTAACTGGAACAACGTCTCTAGCGGGTCGCGGAGTCTGACAAAGCCGTCCTTCGACAGCTCATACACCTGCTGGTCGACACTCGATGACCTGAATGAAAACCAGAAGGAGCGGGCAGGTCACATCACGTCTGGCCGCCAGCAAATCTGTGCTCACTGACCTCTTGGAGTTGTCCACGAACCAGATCTTGAAGTTCTTGCCTCGGTGCATCTCGCCTTTCAGCACGGCCAAGAAAAAGAGAAGAAACCAAGACTTGCCGACGCCCGGTGAGCCACGCAGCAGAACGTTGAAGTAATTCGGATATGAAGGCGTCTTCCTGTTCAAGTTCTTCTGCCTGTCCATAATGATCTTGGCGATGTCAACATAGGCCTTGCGGACCAACAACTTCTGACCCCCCGTGAGTGGCAGCGTGATTGGTGCTGCCTCGAGGTTGATGGGATCCACTGACTCCCAGTATGGTTCAAGTTCGAGTCCGACCCTGAAAATCGGCGGCATGGCTTCGGCGAAGGCCTGCAAGTCAGACAGACAGACAGACAAGACGAATGAATCCACGAAATGCACTCACTCATCATGCCCAGCTGTGTCGGTCACTTGTGCACCTTCTCATCTGGCTCCTCTGCGTGAAGGGCAGTCGCCCTCTGCACGGGGCGATGCGTCGGGCGCTCCAGGCGAGTCGGCAAGGGAGCAAGAAAGGTGAGACGAGCGGATTGGCGCACGCCAGCCACCGTATGAGCGGAGGCAAGGGACGCAGTCAGGAAAAGGGAAAGCGCAGATGCCATAGCGGTGACCTGTGAATGAATGCAGAGAAAGCGCACAACACGACATCTGGCATGAGATGTCATTCATCAACGTCGTAGATCTCCTCACGAAGAAAAAAGCTCCGCGAGCTCGAGCTCGCGGCAGTTCCAACGGGAGAAGAGCCTTCCCGATCTCCCATCTCCCTTTCACCAGGTGGATGACGCAGGTGTGCACAGATCTGCTCTTGACCCATCCACTTCATCTCATTCATCCATCTCTCTGTGCTGTGAGCAGGTGTGTGGTTTCTTTCACTCTGACGACTGGGAGGCCTGACGAGGGATGAATCAGAGGATCCTCATCCGTCAGCCCGCTGCAGCAAGGTCTCTCTGTGGCAAGAGCTCTTGACGCAGACAATTCATGGGATCGGTTTGGTGTGGTGTGCCTTCAGGTGACGGCGGAATCGATTGCTGCTGGACGGCTATAGGCTGGCGGTGAGGAACGAGGCTGCGTATACGTGGACCCGCCGGCCATTGTTCATTGTCCTGGTCATGTGCTTGTGGTGTGGTGTGTGCAGTGAGCCCCTGGTTGATTGTGTGGCCTGATGGACACCGATGACGGAGGTGCTGCAGGCGGGCGGCCGTGTGTCGATGGCAGTGGCTGCCGCGACGTCCTGCACAAGATACACTCGGTGAGGGACGAGGGGAAGAGGAGGGCTCACCAGGTCCATCGCTGTGTTGGGATTGCCTGGCAGGTCGCCTCTCAGATTGCCTCTGATGCTGAGAGGGCAGAGCACATCATAGCCACACACGCCGACGACAAATCACAGGTCCGCACGGAGACACCACAGTCAGCCGAGCTGCACAACTTGCTGGGCGTCTGTTTCGGTGGTGCAGGATGTTGCATCGCTGGCCGGCAGCCTATCCACCATACTGGACACCCTCACCGACGCCCAGTCGGCCCTCGGCAACGAGTTGGCACAGATGTCCAGTGACCGCGACACACACGTGAGGATTGCATGGGAAGACCGATAATGGCTCACAAAGGCCGACAAGCAGTGACGTCCATCTCTCTCTCCTCTGTGCGTGTTTGGGTCAATGTCAGCGGATGGAAGGCGACGGCAGGCTGTTTCGCTGTATCCACCGGGTGGGCGGTGCAGTAGGAGGACGGGCGGCAGAGCCAGCAATGCCGGTCGGTGTGCACATGGATACACAGACAGACAGACAGACAGACAGATGGATGGACCAGCATCTATCTGTGATGCTTTCTTGGTGTCCATCCAGGTGCCTGTTGGCGACGGAGGTAAGCGCGCGTGTGTAGCTATCAGCCCGGCTGCCGCTGCTGCAACTGCGAATAGCAAAAGTACACCAACCACACAGAGGTGAAAGTACTGAGAATCCCATGTTGTGCTGTCTTGTGTTTTGCCTTTGCCGGGTGGGTCGGTTGGTGTCTGCGGTGCTGCAGCAGCGACACCAAGGCCGATGAACAAACCAAAGGTGACACTAAAAGTGGCAACCACTATGACTGCCTTCACCAGTGTGCACATGTGTGGGTGTCAGAAGTACGGCCGTCCGAGTCTGTCTGGTCTGCCTGAGGACGTCTTCAGCCACCTGGACTCCTTCGTCACCAGCATCGTCGTCTCCCGGCTGGCCAAGGTCAACAAGGAGACTCACCAGAAGGCCACCGACCAGAACCTCGGCATGTTCCGGCACTTCACCCTGACGAGCGACGAGGAAGAGACCTACAGAAAGGTCAAGGGCGTCAGGGAGATGCAGCACATGGTGAGAGGGCTGGGATTGGGAGGGACACATGGGTGGGTGGGTGGATGGATGGATGCTTTCTGGTCTGTGCGTGTGGATGCAGGGGAAGATCCAGACGGCCCACATCGAGAGCTCCAGTGTGCCCGCGTGTCTGTCGAGGTGCCTGGAGGCGTCGAGGCTGACGCTCACCCGGCTGACCGTGATAGCCCCTGACCAGCCGCGCTCTGCCCCGCGGGCCCCCATCGATATGCGTCGTGCGCCTGCCCTGCCCACCCACTTCCCAAACATCACACACATGACCATCCAGTCGGCTGCATGGCTCAGCCACCTCAGGTGAGTATGAGGCGTGTGTGTGTGTGTGTGTGTCTTTCCAAGCACCGTCACTCTTTCTTTCTGTGTGAATGCGTTTAGGTATCGTCAATGGACTTTTCCCAACTTGAGGGCCCTTCGGGTGGGCAGCATCTACGAGTCGGCCGACCTGATGGCACTGCTCGACGCGATGCCCATGATCGAGCGGCTGGAGGCAGCGTGCATCGGCTTCTACGACGAGGAACAGGAGGCATTTCTCGCCCTTCTCGGTGGCCGCCCCCACCTGACCACCGTCACCGGCCTGCAGACCTACATGGAAGAATGCTACCCCAGCTACAGATTCGGCTGTGAAAACGAGGTCAAGAAGGCCGTCGATGCCAACTGGAGCAAACAGGACAACGAAGGTGACTCGAACCGAACGAACAAATGATGCGTGAAGCGGATGAAATCTCGGTGCCGTGTGCGCCCTTCCTCCCTCTCTCGGATGAATGAGTGCAGGTGTGCCCAAGAAGCTGGGGTTCGTCGTGCCGCGTTTGTGGATCGGTGTGGACTACGGCCAACAAAAGGCGGCCGATGTGGAGGCCTTCAGAAAGTGGGCCGAGGAGGTCAACTGTGAGGTCAAGTGGGAGCTGGGCGAAGACGGCGGCATGAACATCGACTGCAGCAGCAGCGGTGCCACTGCCCTCCCAGCGCCCGGCGGATTCTTCGGCGATTTCGCGACGCAGATGGCCGCCAAAGCAAAAACGGTGAGCAAGCAAGAAAGCTATGAAGGCCGAGCGCATCTGTTCATGTCTGTGTCATGTAGGTGTGTTTGTATGTGGGTGGCTCTCCGCTGCACGAGAGCTGGCGCGACAAGCTGGCCTTCCCCAATGCCAAGAAGCTCTTCATCGAAGACCATGAAATGGGCGTGAGCGCCTCAGAAGCGGAGGACAGCATACCCACCTGGCTCGCCAACGATGACGCAGACGGAGAGAGGGCGGCGTGTAGTGGGTTCCCCTCTGTAGAGCACCTGAGTGTCGGTTTCCTGTCATACCTCTCTGTCGATGAGATGTGTGAGCATCCGAGCAAGCTGAGCCTGCTGCTGGGGGGCCTCAGGTCAGTCAGGCAAGTCAGCTTCTCTTCTCCCATCTGGTGCCTCTCGGCTGCCTGTGAGCTGCTGTCCTACCTGCCTGTCACACACCTGGATGAGGTCACCTTCCTCGACACACCTGAAGAGAGCACCGGGGTGCACATAGAGGGGGGCCTGGGGTGTCCACGCATTCAGTGCATGTGCAGTGGGAGGATGAGTTTTGACAGAAAGGCGCGTGTGCAGTCGTTTCTGCGGCTGGTGCTCACACTGCGGCCAGTCAGTGTGCGTCTCTCTCTCCGTGCTGATAGGAGCGATCTGCAGGGGGCCGATGAGGCCCCTAGAATACGCGATCTGCGCGGCTTTGCGTGTGAGTGTTTCGAGGAGGTCGAGGCACACTACAGCGTGACGGGGGGAAAGATTGAGGACACGAGGGGCGGGTACTATTACACGCTGAATGTGCAGCTGGCGGCCAAGTGAGTGAGCCGATGGTGCACAGTGGTGTGGGCGGGACTGACCTGTTGTGTGTCAGTGAGGGATTGATAATGGTGTGTTAGAGTGTTTGGACGAGGGGATGGCTGCTGTGTATGAGGCTGGCCTCGCCCTTATGGCCCTGACTGGTGTGTGCTCGATGGACACATGTGATTGATGCGCGGGATGGATGTCGGTGAATGTTTGTGTGTGGTGGGAGACAATGACCACTGCATCTTCACATTGATTGAGAAATTCCGCCACGCACACAAACACACACATTCACACACACTGCAGTCCGTCTGTGTCAATCCACTCCAGCCCCTCACCCTTGGCACCCCTTCACCCCAGCCCATTCAGGCAGCCACACCATCCACAGTGCATCCACCAACTTATCTGTCTGTCGGTCTCTCAAACAGCCGTCCTTCCTGCATCCCGTCTGCTCTCGCGTGGCCAGACAGGCAGGAAGACAAACTCTCTGTACACTCGAGAGTTGAGAAACGAGTCAGTCAGTCTACGGCTACGGCTGGCTGATTGCAGGCAGCCACACCACCCACAGTGCATCCGTCAACCTGTCTGTCGGTCTCTCGCACACACCTGCCTGCCTGCCTGCCATCTGCTCGCGATGGACAGACAGACAGACAGACAGACAGGCCGTCTGTACACGCGAGAGTTGAGAGCTCAATGAATTAGCCTATGGCTACGTCTAGTTGGTTGCCAAACGCCACCTGTGCGTCGTCCCCCATGACCCGCTGCGCCACCCTCACTGTCTGGGGGATCCTGGCCGCACCCTCCTTGCCCGCCACCTGACGCTCCGTCGTCCAGAGGATGGCGCGGGCAAAGTCGGGGTAGCTGATGATGGCGATGGATGCCTCGAATGGCTGGTCGCCATGCAGCACTATCATGCGGTCGCGGCCTCCTCCCGCCGCATTGTGGCTGGTGCCGACAGTGTGGCAGTGCCACACGGGCGGCTGCTGCCTGGCGAGCTGCCGCTGCAGAGAAAGTGAGATGTGACAATGAGGGAGTGGGGCAGCTGGTGAGGCGCTACTTTGTGTGTGGGTGTGTGAGACTGACCAGTCGGTCGTAGCTTGGGGCATTGTTCTGCTGATGGACAGTCTGGTCCGCGACGAATCGTCCCCAACGCATCCTGATGGATCATACACATCATGGCGGAGCGGCGCAGCCAATGTCTTTATGTGTTCGTGTGTGTCATTCTGCTCATTTTGCTCACTGATACAACACAGCGCTGCGAACTGAAGCATAGTCGGCACCTGCACACAGACAAAGACACGCCACCAAATGGTCCCTCTCCCATAGCTTTCCTGCCCCTCTCTCGCTCACCGTCAATGTGACACACGGGGTTGGCCTCGTCGAACATGTTGCGGAATGGGCTGTTGGCCGGCAGCGTCTGCAGTGAGCGGATGGTCACCTGATACCTACCCAGCCGCTCCTCGCCGTCGACGCGCTCGAGCGCCACACCGAGGTGGCGGCCGATGAGGGACAGCTGGCGCAGCGCCTCACACCGCTCGTGGTAGACTGCCCGGCTGCCCACCGCCTCCACAGCAGCACTGCCCAGCTCTATCGGCAACCGCCCCACCAGCCCCCGATGCTTCGCCACCCTGACGATGGCCTCCCACCCCGCCCACTCGCCGCTCTTCTCGATGGTGTACTGCCACATACACAAATGACACATAAAATGTGAGAGTCGGAGTGCGTCCAAGTGTGTACCAGCAGCCGCAGCAGGAAGTCCATCGGCGCATCCGCGCCCGCCGCGGCACCCGATAGCTAACGACATTCTGGATGGCCTTGGCGACAATCAGGCGCTCGATTTGCGATTTGATGTAGTCCTCCGACACACGATGGCTGCCGAGGGGGCATGTGTGCCGAAAGAGACTGAGGCCGTCAGCGCCCATTGAGAAAAACAGCTCCCGCTCGACGTCTTGCGGTAAGCGGAACAAACGGAGCGGCTGATTGGCCGAACCAGCAGCGCTGGAGGCGGCGGCTGAGGCCGCCACCGGGCCCTTCTGCCGCTTCCTCATCCCATTCACTGCTCCTTCCGTTTACGCTGCGAGCTCTAGCGATAAGGCAAGTGCTCGTGCACTTGAGGCGATTGACACATCGCAGAGAAATCTATATCGCTGGACTTATGCGGGGCGATGTTTTGATCACTGTCATCTCATCTGAGCGGCGCTGACCATCGGCCAAACAGGCAAGCAAACAGAGAGGCTGAGGAAGGCAGACACCCTCAGGCAGTCAGGCAGTCAGCAGGGCAGACGAGATGCAGAGAAACAAACAAACAAACAAAGAGAACGACGTTTGGAACTGCGGCTGTGTTTGCTTGGTGTGTTTGTCAGTGGTGGTGAGCTGTCAGGTTTTGAAGCGACTTAGTAGCGACAGCGCAGATGGCTGACGGCGGATTGATGGACTTAGACAAACATGACGGCCCGGCCGCCTCTGCTGCAGGTCACCACACCACCACCTCCACACACACTCGCCGGGTGTGATTGACCGGCCTCACCTTTATGTTGCTGGCGTGCTGTGCTGCAGGTGGGCAGGGCAGCGGGCCGAATTGCGGCGGTAGCTGCTCTCGAGATCTTCTGCAGAAGATACGTTTGATGCGTTCGGTAAGACGGGAGAGAGGAGAGAGGTCTACACATCACATGCAGCAAGGAGTGCCATTCGTTGTGTTGTATTGGCTTGCAGCTCGTGCCTCAGTTGGCGTCTGGTCTTGAGCGGGCAGAGAACATCATAGCCACACACACCGACAACGAATCACAGGTCCGCACGGAAATACCACACACACAGCCGAAAAACAGCGGCACTCACTCTTCTGTCTATGGCCCGCAGGATGGTGCATCGCTGGCCGGCAGCCTGTCGTCCATTCTGGACACCCTCACCGACGCCCACTCGGCCTTGACCGAGCAGCTGACACAGCCGTCGACTGACCACATAACCCATAAAACACATGTACGACTGCGACGACAAGTGGAGGGCTCACACAGGCCGACTTAGACAGACAGACTTTCCCTGTCTGTCTGTCTGTCTGTGTCAGGGCAACTCGAACGACATTGGGGCGTTGGTATCTGAGGGGCTGGATCGGACCGATGATGGCGCACAGCACAGCAAGGCGGTACACACAGACTCACAAACAAGCCGAACCACACATATGGGGGGACGACGTCACGGTATGTGTTCAGGTGGCTGTTGGTGGCGGCAAGCGTGCACGTGTAGCTATCGAAGCGGCTGCTGAAGGTACCCACACACACACAGACAGATGGACGACGGCACGTATCTGGTGTTGTGTGGTGCCTTCAGCTGGTTCGGTTGGCGTGTGTGTTGGTGCAGTAGCGACACAGCAGCAGGGCGCCAGCTCGAGGGTGACACACACGCACGCGAAAGCTTACATGGCGATCGCTGCTCTCACGTTTCTCAACCTGTATGTCAGAAGGACCACGGCCGGCCGTGTCTGTCGGGTCTGCCTGCAGCCGTCATGGGCCACATGGGCTCCTTCCTCACAACGATCGATAACATCGGCCGCCTCTCGCGCGTCAACAGGGAGACCCACATGAAGGCCACCGACAAGACGTACGGCGTCTTTCGCAACTTCACCATGACGCGTCGTGAGGAGGACACCTACCGCAAGCTCAAGACGCTGCAGAACTTGAAAGATGAGGTCAGATGAGAGTGGAGGGTCGTTTGGCGGAGCCGTGATGTGTGAGCTTATCGTCTAATGCAGGCTAGGACCCACACGAGGGCCGTCGAGACGACGCTTGGCCTCTTCGGCAACTTCGCGGACGTCTCTGTGGTAGATGACGCCTCCACAGTCAAGAAGATGCCGCACACAGCGGTAAGAGACCTCACACGGAGACACATTGAAGGACAGACAGACAGACAGACAGACAGAGGCTCTGTGTATACGCAGCGCTCTGTCGATGTGTGTGTGTGTGCAGGGCAAGATCCAGGCGGCTCATGTGGAGGCCAGAGAGGTGCCGCCTGTGGTGTCGGAGCTGCTGGAGGCCAACAAGGACAAGCTCAAGAAGATCACCCTGGACGTCGAGTACTGCTACTTACGGAGGTCGGATGCCGAGCCCATCGTATTCTCATCCGTTACACACCTGGACGTCCGTCGCTCAGCAGGTCTTGAGTTCATAAGGTATACACAGAGGGGAGTCAGAGTTGACGCGACCGCGCAGTCATTCTTGTCTTGGGTCGACGTCTGTTTGTCTGCAGTGCTCGTCGATGGAAGTTCCCGGCAGTCACCACCCTCCGACTCGGTCGCATCGGCAATAGGGATGCCGCCTCTTTGGTGCGTCTGCTCCGCGAATCGCCCAAGATCGAGTGGCTGGAGGCTGACCGCATCACGTTCGACCGCACGCAATTGACCAACTTCCGCGATGCCCTCGCCCGCTGCCCCAACCTCACCGCCATCAGCAGCTTCCGGGTCTGCTTCGAGCAGCTCGGCCACATCAGCCAGCTCAAGGACACCCTCAGCCAGCACTGGATCAAGTCGGACAAGAAAGGTACAGGACCGGCGCACCAAAGCACTTCATTCAGGGGGCCGAGTGATCTGTCTGTCTCACCCATTGCAGAAGTGCCGAAGACGCTGGGCATCGTGGTGGAGGGCATTTCGTTGATCGGTGTGGACTACGGGCGGGGGAAGGGGGCGGCCGACATAGCGGGCGTCAGCGAATGGGCGACGGACGTCAACTGCCAGATTGTGTGCTGGCCAGTCTGCTTGGGCAAGCTGACCATCGATTGCGGCAGCAGCGATGCCATTGCCACTCCTGCGCCCGGCGGCCTCTACGGACAGATCGCCACGCGGCTGGCGGCCAATGCGACCGATGTAGGGAACGCACAGACGGGAGGGAGGGAGGAACTGCATCCGACTGGGCACCATGTGTGTGTCTGCATCTGCCCTGTGTGTATGCAGGTTCAGTTATGGCTTGGTGGCACTCCGCTGGACGAGTCGTGGCGTCACAAGCTCATCTTCCACAAGGCCAAGAAGCTCACTATCAACATCAAGCGTGGCGCAAGCGCAGCAGAGGTGGTCGACAGCATCCCCACATGGCTGACCGAGAGGCAGGGAGAGTCGCAGGGGGCGACCAGCCGATGCTTCCCCGCTGTCGAGCACCTGACGGTGTCCTCTTTCTCGCTGTCTTTGGCTGACGTGCGTGCCGCCAGCAGCAAGCTTAGCCCGCTTTTGTGCGGGCTGACGACACTCAAGCGCGTCGAGCTCTATGGTGTGTCTAGCTTCGCTGCTGCACATGAGCTTCTCTCTTTTCTCACTGTAGACAAGCTAGACTCACCTGTGAGCTTGTCTGTTACCTCACTGTAGGAAAGCTAGATGGGGTCCGTGGGATGGGCGTGTGGTGTGCGAGTGGCCGGCGGACGCCCCTACCATATGGGGTGTCCGCTGCGCTCTCATCCACCATCTGACCTCTCCACACCTATGCAGCAAGGCAGGCGTGAGGGACTTCTTCGAGCTAGCTTCTGCTGTGCGGCCAGTGAGGGTCCGCTTGTTTGCTGAGTTGGTTGATAGTGAGTTGACGGGGGACAGTCGCACCTCCAGACTGGCGGACCTCCGCTCGTTCATGGAGGACTGCCTCAGGCAGGTCGCAACACACTACACAATCGACTCAGAGGATAGCAAGTGCGAGTGTGCCAATCGGTATTGGGGTGGGAGGTGACGCCCCACACTCAAATTGATGGCCAAGTGAGGCGCGGCAAGACAGACAAGCTAGGCTATTCTTGTGTGGACAGCATGCGCCACATGGGGGGGTTGGAGAGGGGGAGAGGCGAGGGTCTGGCCTGCTTGTCGTCTTGATTGATGCATCCTCGTCTGCGTGGCATTGTGTGTGTGTGCCTCTGCCTATCGACACTCTGCCGACTGTGATGTCCATGACTGTCCATGCGGCGTTGCATCGGTCGCTCTTGCCCGCTCTGTCTCTCTTGTCCTTCATCCATCGCCCCCCTCCTCTCGACTGACCAGCCGACTTTCCAGCAGCAGTGAGTGCATCCATTCACACACCCACTGTATGTGTCGGTGGTCACCGGTCGAGTGAGGGCGGCTGAAGGCAAGGACGAGAGGAGAGCGGCACACAGTGAGCGGAATGTCATGGCCCTGACATGGATGATGGAGTGGATGCCGTGTGACTGCCAAGACACCGTGATGAGTGATGATGAGACTACTTCTTAAGTGATCGCTGCATTCAGAGGTCTTTTCTCTATCGGCCCATCCCAAGCAAGCACGTGTGCATCCCCCGATGTGACCCAAGCTGCCACCCTCCCAACTGTGCGCATGCATCACTCAGTCACACACAGGCCATCCCGTTGGTGACATGTATGTCTCCCACCCGACAACCACGGCACAAACCACAAATCCCTGTCTCACACACCCCACAAATCCATCTAGTCCATGACCTGGCTGGTCTCGACAGTCTACACCCAGCGCTCCAGTTCAGGCGATGGTCCAGTCGATCTTGTGCGGCTCGGGTGTGGTTTGTGCACACGGACGGCACCACTTGTTGTACGTCCACAACTCCCACCGCACGCGGCACGTCTTCGCAACATCTATGGGAGTTTTGCCCTGTTGCGAGAAGAATGACAGGCAGAAGGACAGGCATCGAACTCTCCATCGATGTGCCATCCACCCACGCCTGCATACCGTCCCGTTCTTGACTCGCACCAGATCCGAAGCGCCCCATCTCAGCAGCAACTTGACGGCCTCAAGACGATCGTAGAATGACGCCCAGTGCAACGCGGTGTTCATACCCATGAACTGCACACCATAGAAGTCTTTTTGTGTGTGTGTGTCTCTCTCTCTCGTTGTCTGTGTGTGTCTCTCTCTTTGTGTGTGTGTCTGCCTGTCTGCCTCCTGTTTGTCAATATATTCATCAGCGCACATCGAATTGTGTGAGGGCGTCAGGGCCTCTCCAGCTGTAGAGGACTTTCATCGGCTCGATGGCGCCCGTAGACGCAGCCCGCATGAACGGCGTCTTGCCGTTCTGCATAGGTCATCAAGGAACACACGACACATCGAAGACAGCCGTATGGATCGCTTCCCCGCTCACGATGTCTCTAGCGTCGAGCAGCTGCAACGGCCCTAGCACGAGGGACCCCCACCCCAAAAGCTGTCTCACAACTCCTGCGGCCGGATCGCCATGCTCCTTCGCGGCTATGTGGAGCGCCGTCTCGCCAAGCTGCATGCATAATTAGTTGTGACCATTACATGCAGACGAATCAGATGTGTAAGGGATGTTACACGTACTGCGTCTTGTTGTGTGAGAAGCGCTGGCGTGCCGTAGTCGTTGTAGATGACGTTCAAGACGGCATACTTGCCGTTCTGGGCAGCGAGACTCGCTGCTATGTGCCACAAGGTGTAGCCTTCGGCATCTGGGACCTGATGCAAACACCTCATGTTCGCATGCACCGTCATTGACTTGACTTGATCTCTGTAGAAGTTTGCACTGTACCTCGAGTATGTGCTTGCCGTGAAAGTCGATCCAGTTCTTCACTTTGTTCAATCGACCTGCTTCACTCTCGTCGGACGTAATAGCCGCAACAATCCGCCCAATGTCTCTCTGCACCCATGGACAGAAAACAATAGGGCACACGTATGCAGCATCTTATGGCGTGTCACAGCTCGCTATCTATCTCTCAGAAAGACACACCTGCGCCTGGCTCTCCATCGCATTTCGGACGTCCATGTTCTGAGCCAGATCCATCGGTGTTTTGTCCTGCATAAGATAATGGGGTGGACAGTGGCGTGTCTCCTTTTGTCCAGCTTCTCAGCTCACCAGTACGTTCTTGATGTACAGGAGAGAAACCGTAAGGTCGGCCCACTGAAGCAGGAGTTTGACTGCCTCAAGCCTGCCCATCACTGCAGCCTTGTGGAGAGCGGTATTGTGTTCCTGCAGACACACAGACACAGAGGGAAGCCGGTTGGAGTGCATGTCTCTCTCCAGCTGCCTATACGGACGGACTGTTCTATGTCTATACGTACATCGTTTTGCTGAATGAGGAGCTCCTTGCGCTTCTCCTCGGCTGTTTTGTTATAGAGCAGCCGCATGACGTCAATTTTGCCGCTCAACACAGCATACTGGAACGGGGTGTCGTTCATCTGCGTGCATGCGTACATTAAGGCAGACGGGCCGATCTGTACTGACGTGTCTTCCCGTCTACATACTCGCGATCGGGCGTCGATGAGGTCAGCTGACCACTCCAATATCTGCTCGACAACCGGAAGATGTCCGTGAAACGCCGCGTAGTGGATTGCCCTCTGACCAGCCTGCATACAGATACATGCACATGCACATGCACATGCAGATCTATAGGTCCATTCACGCCTCGTGCAGCCATCTGTGTGTCTCCCATCCCGTTTGGATGTGGTGTTCACTCACGCTGTCTGCCTGTTCCAAAATCGACGGCCCATACGCATCGTACATCACTTTGAGCAGCTCACAATGGCCGGCAATCGCGCCTTGTAGAAACGCAGTTCCCTGGCATACAAATGATCAATCATCGACCATAGAGAGAATGACGGTATTGTATCCATGGATACGCTCTGCGAATCTCTTTGGTCGAGGATATCCTTGCCATGCAACTCTATCATTCTCTTGACGGTCTCCACATCGCCAGCCTTGGCCGCAGTAGACATCGTCTCGATGTCTTTCTGCGCACGATTGGTCAGGCAAGCAATGGAGCAGCCAGCTGTTACGATGAAGAAGCAACCCTCAGTGCGTGTCTGACTTGTTGAGGTTCCTTGCGGAAGACTCCCGGTGGCTTGACAGTGCTGGGCGGCCCGGTAATGGTGGATCCCATGCTCTGCGGGGACGGACCGATGGGAGACACACCGATCGGCGAAATTGGGGCAGGCACAGGCGAAACATACACAGGTCCTGCATGCGGACAGGAAGCAAGCAATTCACATCCTTGTGTGTGATTCTTAATCGTCTTCATCGTGGGACAGACCTGGCGGAAGACGCAGCTTCTCCAAAAGCTACCAGAGGAAGAAACAACATGTGGAAGGGAGCAAGCTAAGCACATGTAGATCACCTGTTCCGCTGTGGGTCTGTCAGCGGGATTGTAGGCAAAGCAACTCTGACGGACGGACACAAGGCAAAGACAAAGAAGCGACCGATACACAAGATACGAAAGAAACACGCCTCTTCTTGTTGTCCTTTACCTTGATTGCTTTCTGCACGTGCTCAGAGAGCGTTGTCGGAACCTCTGGGATCTGACAGAGGGAAGCGAGGGCGTCAAATAGAGATGTCACAAAGGACTGTGCGGACACCTCGGCACGAACAACGTGTGGAGCGCGTACCTTCTTGTTGACCACAACGTCAGTCATTATTCTCACTCCGGGCTTGCCGTCAAATGGGGGTGGACCTCCATGAACTTCCGTGAGAATGCCCCCGAGAGACCAGATATCACTTGCCGCTGTCAGATCGCCCACTGAGATGCCATGGAGACAAAAGAAATTACCCACGGATCGTTGACGAAATGCTGCACTGCAGCTATCCTCTGATTGGTCGCTTACATTTTTCGTCATACGCTTCAGGGCCCATGTACGCATGTGTCCCGCCTCCTGCACGTGTGAGCACATCAAGAATTGGAAGCTAATGCTGGTCCCTACAACGTGATGTGCGTACTTGTTGACGTCTTCGTTGTCCTTTGGGTGTTTCTAGTCATGCCGAAGTCACTTATCTTCACAACCAGGCCCTCGCCCAGCTGCGAGTAGGATTAATGAATATGACACCGATAGAAAAGGCATGCCATCCTGATTGTCGTGACTCACCAACAGGTTGCCCGGCTTTAGGTCACGGTGTATGATTCCCATTCGGTGAAGATACTGAACGCCCTCACATATCTGACACACAACGGCAGGCAACGACAGGTAGACAAATTGATAAGAGAGCATTGGCTCGCCTACTTCTCTGGCAAACTTGCCGCGAAGTTCAGGCGACAGGGGCTTGTGTTTGGCAAGATATGAGGCCAGAGAGCCCCCCTCACATAACTCTGCACAGGAAGAAAAGGGCAATCGATGCCGTACAAATGAGACATAAAGCTGACCTGTGACAATCAACAGTCCACGCTGATCAGAACAAATGCCCAAGAAACGGACGATGTTGGGATGGTTTAGATGCATCTTAGAAATCCAAAGACAAAGAGAGACACTGTTCAGGAAGGGCAAAACGCCGGCGACGCAACCGCTTACAAAATGTCCGGCCTCGCTCAGCACCTCCTCCATCACCTCCTGGGGCCCAGGCAGACAGATGCCATTGTACGTGATCGCTATGAGAGCTGTGTGTCATCTGTGTACATGTCTGGCGAGCTCGTTGCTGATTTCCTCGTTAGCGACCTTGACAGCCACTGGCCGTCCCTTCCACAAGCCCCGTCCCGAAGGCTCCCCGCCCTGTGGAACAAGCGAACACAACAAAGACCGAGGGACTGAAACTGCTGATTCTCCCTGGGCCCACCGACCGATCTTGTCGTCCTCGCTGAAGGTGAGATCCTTTTGCTTGATCACCAAGTTTGGTTGTGACATGCTGCATGGGACAGAATCCATACACGGAAAGGGGTGCCATGGTCATTCCTTTCGCCCTTTCGGCGCGGGGGGGTTACCTGACTGCAACTGGCGTTTGCCCAGCGTCGGGGCTTGCCGCTTGCCCGATCGTTCCCTGGGCGTTACTGACTCTCTGGCCCGCTTTGCTGGAGGAGCTTCCCATTTCCAAACAGGCACAAACGGGGAGGGAAGGGAAGGTTGGGGCCGCCTGGCCCCAACCCTTCGGCGCGGTGATCAGAATGCACCGCCTCGCATTGACATATCAATTGTCGACCTGGTGGTACACATCACGTATTCACATTGGCAGAGAATCCATTCGTCATGCAGGCCATGAGTGACTCAGTCAGTCAGGCAGTCAGTCGAATCGTTCATTCAACCATGCCACCAACAATCTCACCACACGCACTCCACAGAGAACACAGCATGCATCCACCCCTCCATCCATCCATTTCCACCCATCAGTCCGTCCATCTCAAGCATCCCCACCGCCGGCTGCCGTAGGCTGCCGTGGCCACGGACAAGCAGTGAGCCTCACTGTACACGCAGATGAGAGAGATGGACATATCAGTCCGTTAGTCTACATCTGCGGGTAGATCATAGTCGAAAGATGAGTGAATCACTCTACGTCCAGCTTGTTGCCGAACAGCCTCTGTGCGTCGGCCCCCATGACCTGCCGCGCCACCTGCACCGTCAGCGGGAACCTGGCGGCCCCCTCCCTGCCAGCCACAGGGCGCTCCGTGGTGAACAGGTAGACGGAGGCGCTGATTACGTAGACGTAGGCCTGGAATGTGTGTCCCGGCTGGTCGCCGTGGATCACTATCACACTGTGGAAGCCTTCTGCTGCCCACGGCTGGTGGACCGTGCTGGTGGTGTGGCAGTTCCACACGGGCGGCGGCTGCCTGGTGAGTTCCCGCTGAAGAGAAAAGGAGAGAGGAAATGGTTGAGCCGCGCATCTCGTGAGGCATCCGTGTGTAGATGTGTGTCTAACTTACTGACCAGCCGCGCATGGCGTACGGCATTCTCGTGCGGTAACGCGAACTGCGAGGCGGCCATCTGAACCTGATGGACTGACTCCCATACACATACTGAGGAGACACACCATGAAAGAGAATTCTAGCGAATTGTGTGTATGTTAGTTATGCTCCTCTTATGATCCTGTTACTTCTGCACGACGGCATCGCGAACTGAGGCATAGTCATGGCCTGCAACAAGACATACACACATGCAACCACATGATGAATCATCCACCGCTATTTCCCCATCCATTCTCCCTTTCTCACCCTGATGACCACACACGGGGTTGTTCGGGTCAAATCTATCGCGGAATGGGTGGTTGGCCGTCAGCGTCTGCAGTGTGACGATGGTCAGCTGACTGCCGTCAAGCCACTCCTCGCCATTCACGCGCTCGAGCGTCGCGTCACCACGATGGCTGATGCGCCGCCCGATAAACGACAGCTGCCGCAGCGCCTCACACCGCCCGTCGAACACCGCCCGGCTGCCTACCGCCTCCACGTCAGCACTATGCAGCTCTATCGGCCATTTCCCCGGCCCATGCCCCAGATGCTCCGCCATCCTCACTATGGCCTCCCACCCCACCCACGCGCCGCCATTCTCGATGACATACTGCCGACACACACAGACATGACAACAGACACAGCAAACGTGAAAGCCGGAGTGCGTCCAACTGAGTACCAGCAGCCGCAGCAGGAAGTCCATCGGCCGCAGCTGGTCCCTCCGCGCCCGCCGCGGCACCCGATAGCTGACGACATTCTGGATGGCCTTGGCGACAATCAGGCGGTCTATCTGCGATTTGAGGTAGTCATCCGACACACGCTGGCTGCCGAGGGGGCATGTGTGCCGAAAGAGAGCGAGGCCGTCAGCGCCAATTGCGAAAAACAGCTCCCGCTCGATGTCCTGCGGCAGGCGGAACAAACAGGGCGGCTGATTGGCCGAATCAGCAGCAGCGCTGGAGGCGGCTGCTGAGGCCGCCACCGGGGCCTTCTGTCGTTTCCTCATCCCTACACTGCAGCAGCTGATCCCTCCACAGCAGCGGTTTCAAGTCCCCTGTCGGTCTGTAACATGGTCCCCGCGATTTGGCCAAGCTCGCCGCGAAACCCGAAAGGGTGCGAAACCCTAGGGCTGCGTTTTCTCCGCGTACAGATGATAAGTGACATTCACAAGACGGACACTCTCTGGGTGCCATTCTACGCACTCATCGTGGCTGTTGTCAGTGAATGTGAGTGAGCACGAGAAGAGCCGGGACGCACAGATCTCTGTGGTTCTCTTGTGTTGTGTGCTTGTGTCTGCAGTTCTGAGCTGGCTTTTGATCTATCGGACGTCGCAGTACAAGAAGATCAAGAACGACGTCGACAGAGCCGTCAAGAAACGTAAGCCGAAATGACACGGGACCGATCGCTGGCTGATGCCGTGACTGTGTGTGTGTGCCTGTGTGTGCGGTGCCTCCCTCCCTGATGCGTCAATCACTCACTGCGTCACTGACGTCAGTGAGCAGGAGTAAGGATGCAGTGGTGGGTATCCTCAACAAGAAGGCCCAGAGTAAGAAGATCAAGGACGACGAGAGGGAGCTGCAGAAACTCAACCGCGACATGTACTCCATGCGCATGAAGGGGCAGTTCTTCCTCATGTTGATCATGGGCGCCTTCTACGCTATCTCAGCTTCTTCGTAAGAAGCTGTCAGCCAGCCAGCCAGCCAGCGGGGGTCAAACAAGCGACCGACCTCACTCACACACACGCCGGCCGACCGGCCGGAATGTGGACCTCTGTGTGAGTGTGTCTGCAGGTTCGAGGGCATTGTGGTGGCGAAGCTGCCCTTCGAGCCGCCCTGGTTCCTCCACGGCCTCACACACAGGGGGCTGGTGGGGCAGGACTACACCGACTGCTCATATTCCTTCTTGTACGTCATCTCGACCATCTGCCTACGCATCAACCTTCAAAAGCTCCTCGGTCGGTGGGCGGTGGGGGGCAGTGCACACCCACACATATGGGATGGGTCCCTTGAATGCTCTGTGTGTGTGTGTGTGTGTGTGTGCTGCAGGGACGGCGCCGTCCGCCGCTCAGGCTCAGATGATGCCAAGCGGGTTCCAGTTGCCCGACCAAGCCGCCGCAATGAGATGAATGAATGAATGACGCTCTCTCTGATGATGGGATGCAGGCGGACGGCCGGACACCAATCAACAGAGACAGACAGACAGACAGAGAGGGAGGGATGGAGGCGTCAATGGCTCTCTGTGAGGCGACTGGCTCTCTCTGTGAGTGCGAATGACTGCATGGATTTTGTGCCCATTCGTTAAGACTTCAACGAGCAGACAGGGACTCTTGGCGCCAACTGCATGAGCCTCCACCTGTCGGTCAGTCAGTCAGTCAGTCTGACACTCATTCATCCCTCCATTTATGTGTGTGTCCGCGCGCGTGTGTGTGTGTGTGTGCCACACAAGATGCGCTCCCAATCTTCAAGCTTGCAGATTGGGAGCCATTATGGACACATCAAAATTGTTGAACGGACAGGCAAAATCGGTACATGCAAGATGAGACAGGGACCAAAAATACACATGCACCATCCCGTCCCCGCGCACATATCGACACCATCAAGGGAGACAGGCAGCGGCACAGCAAGTGTCCGGACCATCTTGACCACACACACTTACGGCAGTCAGACAGTCAGGCTGTCAGCTATCGACAAGAGATCGGAATATCTCCATCTGTCCACCCGACCGTGTGTGTGTGTGTGTGTGTGCATTGTCTACCTTTCTCGGCCGACCGGGTCTGATGGATGAGTGTGGCCGTCTCATCTATTATCTACTGTCTGTCTATGTGTCTATGTGTCAGTCAGAAGTCTTCGTTGAGCGAGAAGTAGTCCTTGGGGTGGGTGTCTGAGCCCGACAGGCACACCCGGATGTGCCGCGAACCGGTGCTGGGCTGCACCTCCTGGCCCTCACACTGCATCAACCAACCACACCATACACACGTTGATGGTGTTGAAAAGTCCTCCTCCCATCTGTTCTGTGTGGCGTGTGTACCTTGCTGGTCATCTCTTGTGTCATGGCTGTGTATGGGTTGGGGGTCATGAAGGCCTTGCCGTGGGACAGCGACTCCAACACGCTGTCGGCACACCACTTGTGGTACCCCACCAACTCATCTAGAGAACAGATGACACCACACACCACACATATATCGGTGCACTCGTGTGTGCGAGCACACACCGACCTCTGTTGATGCCCATGCTTTGGTAGTCGACGAGGGCGTCCATCGCCGCAACGCTCTTCTCAACCGCATCCTTGGCCATGCACACAACCTGGCACACACACATAACAACACATCCATACACACGCATCCACGTGCATCCAGATGTGTGTGTGTGTGTACCAAGTCGTTAGGGAGTTTGTGTGTGAGCATTCGGTAGAGGAGTGCGGCGAAGTCGCTGTGGGCCCGCTCGTCACGGCCGATCAGCGACTGCACCTGCACCAGCCCCGGCAGCAACTTGCGCCCCTTCAACACGTACGCTACCACATCGGTGCCTTGTCGACCGATCATCACAAAGAGAATCAACACATGGGTGCCGGCCTAGTGGGATGTGTCAATATGCACGCGCTCACCGGCTGAGAAGAGTCGCTTCATGAGTGCGCACCCGGCGGCCTTCTCGGCGAATGGTGTGTCGGTGCTGCAGTGCTCCTTGACGTACGCACCCAACCCCTGCACGGCCGGCATGCACAGCAACTCCTGCACCACACACACACACACACACACACACTGCACTTGCCCATCGATGGGCACGTGTGTGTTTGTGACCTTGATGTCGGCCTCCCTCTGTGTGGGGTCCGGCATGAGTGTTTCTGCGAGGTAGGTCTGCGCCTCCCGGTGTATGTTCTCCATGGCCACCTGCATGCCGTAGAAGGCGCGCGCCTCGGGGATCGTCACGTCACACAGCAGCCGACACGACAACACCGACAGATTCCCATACACACTACCATTGCTGCACACCCCCACACGTCCACACACGAGTGTGTGTGTGTTTGTTGTGTGGGGGCTGATGTGGTCCCCCACCTGGCTGAGTTGAGGAGTGTGAGTTTCTTGACGCTAGTGATGGCCTTGTCGGGGAGCGTGGCGAGGCCGCCGGCGTCCTGCGCGAAGTCGATCTCCTCGGCCGTCCAGAAACACGCCTCGTGCTTCTTGAACATGTCCTGAGCAAACGATGCCATCCACAGAGAGCCATGCAGCAGATGGCAGATCATCATGCAGATCAGATCAGCTCACCCAAACTTGAGGGTACGCGATGGGCAACACTACCTACACCCACATCACACGGCATACCCACACACATCCATCCATCCATCCATCCATCCATCTCCCCTTGTGAAGGTTTCGTTGGTCCACACTCACCCATCTACCGGGGTTGTCCTTCAAGATCTGCTCCTCCGCCTCGTGGCCTCGCAGCGCCGCACGGCAAGAGGACACGTCCATCATCCCAACACTACACCTGAAAGTCGCCTCAATCCGCCGCTACGGTGCCAGTGGCTGTGCGGCTTGCGTCCTCAGCTGCACACAGCGGCTGAAACGAGGCGAAAACACATCAGTTCGACCGGATGACATGAGCTCGCAAGTGAGGTGGGCGGCGCGGAGCGGGTTTGCAGCTTGTAGATTGATGTGTAACGATGGGCCGGGGACACACGCGTTGGTCCACGGCACGAACGAACACGAACAGTCTGAAGCGCGGTGTGATTGACCTGACGCAAGATGACGCACACGACGGCACTGCCGAGAATCCTCAAGACCTCACTCAAGACGCCGACGAGGCCCTGGCCAAGCGAGCAGAGCCCGCCCGCAAGAAGGGAAGGGTGAGTGAGACCGCCTGGCTATGGCGGTGCCAGCCCTTCTACCTCAATGCGATAGTGGACTATGGGCGCGATGGCGAGGGCAGCGAGGGCTGCTTGAGCATTCGGGACGTCATCGATGGGCCTGTGCAGGAGGTGAGTGAGTGGGTGGGTGGGAAGATGCGGTCTGAGGGAGCCTTTGACGTGTTTGTTGTGTTGTGCAGATGTTGCTCGCCAGCATGAGGTTTGACCTAGTCGGTGAGATGACGACAGGCAGTCTGTCTGTCGGCCACACACACACACATTGGTTCTTGCCGTCTTGTTGTGTCAGCCGTGGTTGGTGGATGAGTGTCCCGTCATGAAGACAATGAGGCGCATCACCATACTCACTGGAGACCCTCGCCACCAACCCCAAAGGAAAGGTGGTGAACTGACGAAGTGAGGCAAACGCGTCCGTGTGTGAATGGCTGGCTGTCTGTGTGTGTGTGCAGTAGACAGAGTGGAGGAGCTTCGACAGGATGCTACTAATCTCCAATCGCATGGGCCGAAGGTGCCGGTGGAAGTTTGCCCTCTGAGAGACGCCTACGCCTCGTTTCACCCCAAGCTGATCATCCTGACGTACGCCGACCACATCCGGGTGTGCATCGCGTCAGCCAACTTCACATACAGCAACTGGTGGGCGGGGAGGGAGGAAGAGGCTTCATGGGGGGGGGGGGGGG